TTCGACTCCCAGCCACTCCCACATGTTGTGGTGACTCTGAGCAAGACACCTAATCCCTAACTGCTCCCTGGGTGCTTATAGCTGCCCACTGCTCCACCTGGGTGGATCTCAGGTGTGATGAGTTAAGTGCAGAGAACTAATTTCATCACTGCATGGGAACACACAATGATGACAATCTCAAAGTTCTCCTCCCTTCTCAAAAAAAAACAACAAATGCAACCGAAAAACGCTGCAAAAGAAAATTCTGCAATCCAAGAAAATATGAGGAAAATACATAAAACCAACTAAATAAACGCAAAGGAAAAATTCTGCAAATACCAAAACACTAAAAAACCACACATGGCCGTGATCTTTTACAATAAACCGAAAGAATATTTACGCAGGTAATAGAGACTTTAATTTATAATAGTTTGCATTTCTGAGGTTTGTACGGTAGACTGTTGGGACAACGCTGACATAGACAGTTGTTGTAACTTGTTACAGAGGGAGTCCAGGTTCCAGACTCTTTCTGTTTTAATTCCCCCTCCCCAACCTATAGCGCTTTACTACCCCAATGGTTTAAGGAGCACAAGCCCCAGAACTCAGGTGTACAGAGATGATCCTCATCGTCATTACATGAAGTGTGAGGTGTGTCGGCTCCTTGGTTTTAAACTTGGTGCTAATTTGCATATTAGACAAGTATTTATTTTAAAAATGCAAGTCTCAAACTGCCCCAAGCGGAGGAGTCCAAGTGTGTGGGAGTTTTCTTCATGACTGACAGTATGGAGTAGGAAATAGACTGATGGATCGCTGCATCATCTGCAGTAATGAGGCCGTTGCTCCAGTCTGTCATAGTGAAGCAGCAGCTGAGTTGAAAGGCAAAGCTTTGGTCCGTCTGTGGTCCAGCTCTCACATATGGTCATAAGATGTGGATCATGATTGATAGAACAAGATCCTGGAAGTGTCTGAGATCCCAGAAGTACTGAACTTGCATGCATGCATGCTAACAACTGTCATTGGGGACCCAGGAAGCATGAAGATGCAAAAAAAAAATCCTGATAATGAGAAAAAGTTCAGACTTTTGATCAAAAAGTGGTTTCTACGACCAGTATATCAAACTCACCGTGGACCGTTTGCTGGTCACATGCACCATCTTGTTTAACTAAACAATTTTAGCTTCTTTGCCTCATAGTGCCTTCTTCAACCCGTGTAATACATTATCACTAAAATTAGAAACATCTGATCTAAAGATGATGCAGAAAAACTGCTCCATGCATTTGTCACGTCTAGACTGGACTATTGCAATGGTTTATTATCTGGGTGTCCAAATACTTCTTTAAAACATCTTCAGTTGATCCAAAATGCTGCTGCCAGAGTCTTAACTGGAGTTACTGGGAGAGATCACATCTCTCCAGTTTCAGCTTCTCTCCATTGGCTCCCTGTCAAATCCAGAATAGAATTCAGAATCCTACTTCTAACATACAGTACAAAGCCCTCAACAACCTAGCTCCATCTTATATTACAGATCTTATTATTCCATATTTTCCTAACAGAGCACTTCTCTCTCAGACTGCAGGTTTACTTGTGGTCCCTAGAGTTTCCCAAAGCAGAATGGGAGGAAGATCTTTCAGTTCTCAGGCTCCTCTCTTGTGGAACCAACTTCCAGTTTCTGTCCATGAGGCTGACACATTGCCCAGTTTGAAGACTGGGATTAAGACTTTCCTTTTCGATTAACCCTATAGTTAGTCGGCTTGGTTTTCTGACCTATTTCTGATCCTATGCTGCTGTAACCTTAGACTACTGGAGAACAAACTGACCTCATTTCATCAAACGAACAGTTACAAATACAAACATATGAATAGAATTTGTAATTATTCTTTCTTAACATGTGATTTCTGTCTTTTCGTCTTTCCTCTTGATGGCCTCCATCCTGGACCTCCTCCATCCTGGACCTGTCATGGGGTGTTCATTGTCTCCTTCCTGTCCTTTCAAACCCAGCCGGTCGAAGCAGATGGCCACTTGTCCCGAGTTTGGTTCTGCTGGAGTTTTTCCTTTCCACTGTTGCCTCTGTGCTCACTTAGGATGGGCGACTGCAATGAAGTGAAAACTCAAAGTTGTCTCAGATAAATAATGTTATTAACGGACTTTATATGTGAATATTTCTGTGCAGTGCCCTGAGACGACTTCTGATGTGAACTGGCGCTGTATAACTAAACTGAAATGAATTTCTGATGCTTATGAAGGTCTGACAGCTGCAGGCATAAACCAGCCGGGACCATCAAGCACCACTGGTTTTACCTCATTTCAGAGTGAGAATTGACTTTGCAAGTTTTGATCTCTTTATTTTGGCAGGGTTGGACTTTCGTGCAAACACCGTCACCTTTTCAACCATATTTATTTAACAAAATACAAACCAGGACATAAAACAAGTCCAAGTTACTGTGATGGTCTGGAAATGTAGCAGGGAGCATGAAAATCTGAGCGGGTGAAAAGTGGAGGAAGAATAAAAAGAACATCAATATTATGTCACAGCTTCAGCGTACCGTAGAAAACAAGTCAGTCTGTCATCGCACAAAGACGTGCAAGATGTTCGAGTCACGCCAGCATGAATACGGCCCATATACGGACAGTTCGTGGCACTTTTTGTAGTTCGGGTATTTTCGGCTGCAAAGACTCGGCTTATGGCTTCTGCAGCATCTTGATCTTTTGTTTTTCAGCTGCTGGAAAACGCAGAGCAGCTGCAAAAACATCAAAAAACCTACTGAAATGATTTGTGCCAAGCTAAAGTGCATTCAGTGTTTGCTTTAGATAAAGAGCACAAACATAAACTTTATTGGGATTTTTGCTGTAAACCTCCTATAAATGAGTTAAAGCCCCTTGAGATGTAAACAGCACAAGACATGGGGCTCTTACATAAGCTCGCCCTCACGTCTGGTCATACATGACACACGGGGAAATATCTAATTAAATGAGCTGTTCAAAGAAAAAACCAAGACAAACACAGAGCTCCATTATTACCTTAGGCTGTTGTAAGTAGAGCCCCCCCCCCCCCCCAGACTCCTTGGATGAAAAAAATAAAATAATAAAACATGTGACAAGGGAACATGATGTTCCTCATTCCTGAATAGCTCAAGATTTTAATAGTTCGGCCTCCCAAGTCGCAGAAGGACGAGGCGGTTTCAGACTTTCTGCTGCTCCACTTTTTGGAGCAGTCTGATATTTTAAACTTCTCCTCCTCCACATTAAACGAATACCTTCATTTCAAAGCCATTCTGACTAATGGAGTTCAAATATGCCCATTTTGCACGTTGACCCAATGCACACGACAGTGAAAGAATCAGCCCGTTAAATGCGTCACTTTGCACAGCGTGAACTTTTCTCTGTTTACGTTTTTTGAATGAACACACTGTTCTGCTGATGAGTGCTCATTTCCACATATTGAAATATGCCCCTTTAATTTGGGGTTAAAGGTAAACGTTTCCTGCGAGAAACATGAGAACGTAAAAGAACGGGTGGGAACACAAGTGGGCACTTCTGTTGGGACTCATAACAACCTGGGACTGACTGAACCCAGTCAACTGCACTAAATGACATGTTTAGGGTGAAGGCCCGTTGTGAACGTCACATTTCTAATTTAGCCAATTGAACATTAGGTATGTTCAAAGTGCACAAGGCTCTTCACAAACTTTGGTTGTAAGGAAAGTATTTGCCATGAAATGCCACAGGTGCTTTTATAATATCAGGTGTTTGGTAATGATTCTTGTTTGGATGGAACAAAGCACATCCAGTCCAACAGCACCACCAAGAGGGGTGAGGACTCAGTTACTGTAGGATACAAGAAAAACCTACAGGAGTTACTGAGTCCAGCTTTACAACATTCACCAGTTTCACTCAGCTACTTTCAGAAAATAATTCATTTTCTCGTCAAACCGTTTCAAACCTCATATGGTAGAGCTGCATTCAGTAAGTCAGGTCCTCTGGAGACGTTTAGTCCTTCATCCAAAGGACTTCATCAGTCTGAGGAGCCACAACAAAACGAGTCCCACAAGCAGCGTGGGCCAACCGGTTTGATGGTGGTCTCTGGAGTCCGTCCTCTCCCGTCGACTCCTCTGAGGCAGCCGTGGCCGAAGTGGTTGTTTTGAACCGTTTTGTCCACGGATGCCTCGATGGGGGAGAGGGCGGACTCCACAAACCACCGTATCACCATCAAACTGGTTGGTCCACTAAGTGAGTAAGCCATGAGTTTGTTGCGGCTCCTCGGACTGATGAAGTCCTTTGGATGAAAGACGAAACATTAGATTTTTTACCTGGAACACTGAACATGAACTTTGATACATTCAGTTTTACTTATTTTTTTAAACGGCTGCTTTCGGCAAAATCTCTCATGAACCACTGAACAGCTTTTAATGAAACTTTGGAAAATAAACCGAGGATTGATTCACTTTTGGAGCCAATACAAGTCAAGATGGCCGCCACAACTAAATGACATTAGCAAACACAAAAATGACTACAATTGGATCAACTTTAGATGTTGAGCTAAAATTTAATGAGGTCTGAGCTGAGGGACGATGACGTCATCAAGAGATCAGACGTTAAAATTTTCTACATTTGACCAGAACCGCTACAACTCTGACATTTCTCAACACAATATGAACCTATAGAAAACTCTGAAAAACTATACATATTAATATATTGACTATGCAGTACTAAACGTTAGCATTCCCTCAAGGAATACAAGATCTTTAATTTTCCTTTAAGTAGTTCCCATAAATTATACTTTATACATTTATTATCCCATCAAGTATTTTCTACTTGCACTGATCAGAATCCTGAGGTAAATTAAACTTGAAGTCTTGAACCTTCGTCACGATTGTGCCTAAAGAGTGAAAACACACAACTTCAACCAGCTGCTTCCACTTTATTTACCAAGTGATACACAATTAATGAGGGTGAGACCTTTTTTTGACAAGTTCATTCTTAAGATCTCCAAGAGAAGAGAACATCAGAGATTACAAACAGAAACCAAAATCAAAAGAAAGAGTGATACAGAAGAACTTGTTGCTACAGATTATTTAAATATCAATTCTGTCAAAGTGACAAAGAACACAAACAAAGTTGGACAAAACTTGGAGTTTCCTTCATTTTCAGAAAAAAGCCAAGATCTTGACTTGCTTGGTGCCTTACAACTCCGTCTGACGTCAAAATGCAACAAAGCACAAGTTTGTGTTTTAGAAATTCAAGCATCCGATGAACCTGGAGCAGTCTAAGGAGGCGACGTGGAGAAGACGCACAATAAACACGAGGAACACTTCTTAAATTAGTCAAACTCACGGTGATCTGGTTTATCATTTGTGCTACGTCCTCACAAAAATACAAGCTATAAGGAAAAGATTGTATAAATAAACTCAAGAAAGCTGTATCGTGATGAATAGTAAGATGCTGACGAGTTATGGAAGCGCGGTGAAGAACAGAAACCTACTCGCACACAACAAGAACAAATATTCAGCAACACACAAGTGACGTTAAAGGAGGTCCTTTCATTCCTCAAGCCTTCCCTCCAAGATGCTCTCAAAGGTGAACGGCAGGAACTTGAAGCCCTGACCGGCATAAAACTTGGTTTGGAACTCCACCCTGTGGAAAAATATAAAATAAAGAGACGATGCGGTCAGAAGCCATGACAGATGTTGGCTCGTCCAGAAGGGCACGGCCCGTGACCTCTGCTCTGGACTGCAGTCTGCAACATGTCCACGCCCTGAGCCCCGAGCCCCGGGCTGGACGCAACGCTCCTTCAGCTCAGAAAAACATCAGCGTCTAGTTTTAACTTCAGCAGAATGCGACGGCTGCATGACCTTTGGACTCATGAACAGTTGCCATTTTAAAACCTGCTTCATGTAGAAAGTAGATGAGGTGACATTTTGCTAATGTAAACAAACCGCTCGTGCGCTGCTTCTTATGTAGGCTCGGGCTCGGGCAGTTATGATTATAGTAATAATACTTGGATTCTGCAGTTCCACAGTACGTTTACTGATGAAGGGCGTCGTCTCAGCACTCACAAGAATATTTAGTAAAACGTTCATATTCATTGTCCTTTTATTTAAGCAGGTTCGTCTCATGGAGTCACGAGGACTCGCTTTAGTTTTAAACAAACCAGAGATGAGGTACACAACAACAAACAGCCATAAAATGCATTTAAAAGAAGAAGGAAATAAAAGTGGTGCTATAAAACAAAATAAAACAGACGTCTTAAACTTTAGATTAAAAGTCCAAAATGCTGCAGCTCAGCTCTCAACAGGAACTTGTAGGTCTGAGCACCTTTCACCAGTTTTGTCGTCCCTTCACTGGCTCCCTGCGCGTGTCAGAACTCATTTTTTAATTCTCCTGTTGACCTTTAAGTGTATAAATGTTCCCTCATACCTCTGACATACTTCAACCATATGTTCCCAACTCTGGAACAATCTTTCCCTCAACATTAGACTTCCTGTTTTTAAATCTCTCCTAAAAACACACCTGTGTTCACTGACGTTAAACAATGATTTATGATGTCACCGTTTCTCATCGTTCGTCTTTTTATGTTTTTATTTTTGATGCCCTTAATTTTAACTTTTATTATTTTATTTACTGCCTTTATTTTTTTAAGCACTTTCACAACAGCTGCTGTTTTAAATGTGCCGACTCGAGGTCTTATTTAGCTTCATAGCTTCGTGGAGTGACGTGCACTTTTATTTACCACATTAACATCATGGTCATCCTAATAAGTTTTATTGTGATGATGAAATAACTTAACACTCTGGTTTCCTACACTTTCAAATAATCACATTAATTTTGCTGAGACAGATGTGTCAAAAATATTAATTTCTTTTTTCCAGGTTCAACAGTGAAGTTCTGGTTTCATTTCATGTTTTGAATCTTTGATCTTTTGAAATATTTATTTAATAATCAGAACAACTTCAGAGCCTTCACTTCTCTGTGTGCACCTCAAGACCGAGCTGAGAAACGCTGACCTCGGATCAGTCGTAACCAGCAGGAGGAGCTAACGACCTAAATGAAGCTCAGCATTCTTACAACTTTAGAGTCTCATTTAGAAAAATACAAGGATGAACAGTTTGCCATGAGGATCAGTTATGATTGTATTCAAACAAGTAAAATCTGAATACAGCACAATTTATAAACAGGAACTTTGAAATGGAAGATAAACAGCAACTAATGATGATGAACACAGAACACTAGAAACTTACCAGTGCAGTCGCAGTGCGTGCAGGAAGGCCGACAGACCTTCCATAATGAGAAGAATAGCAACTGTGAGAACAGCGAAGAAGAAAAAGACGAGGGACAGAATGACGAAGCCTCCCAGGCTTCTGGTGGAAAGGCCGATGCGAATCACCATGGACCACAGCACCTCCGACAGCTCTGTGACACGAGACGTTGAAGCAAACCATCGTCATCATCAGATGAGCATTTAACATTAAGATTTTGAATTCCTCTTAAGATGCTTCTAATGGGCCTTACGTGCATGGGCCAGGCTGAGGGCCCAAAGCCTCAGATAGGAAGCGGTGTTGGAGATGCAGCTCAGACAGTACTCTATGGTGTGGATCGCCTGATGAACCGCCATGTCCGCGAAGTTGAACTGAAGGAAAACATACCTGCGTGTCAGCACGACACTTTAACATTAACAGACATTTTTACAACGAGCAGGCCTGTCACGATAACTAATGTTGCTGGGCGATTAACCGTCTCAGAAATTATTGCGATAAACGATAATATTGTTTGAAATTTGACAATAATTAGTAATTATTGTCAAATTTAAGAAGAAATGTTCATTAATTTGTTTTGGATGTAGTACCTTTTTTTTCGACCACTGGATGGCAGTATAAGACTATTTGAACTGAAGGATGGATAGTGAGGGAGCGAGCAGCGTGTCTAAGAAAAATGGGAGGGAGGTCCCTTGACGTGACGTGGGCCGTCTCTCCTTTTGTTCGGTTCTCAAAATGGCGGACGCTCGGTGCGGTTTGAGCTCTTTAGCATTTTTCACACAAAGTTTTAAATAAAAAAAAAAAATCATTAAATAAGTTCTCAGCTCCTTTTTGCAGAGACAAACAACTTTTTACACGAAGGCACGGGTTTCAACCGTGAATTTTGGAGCTTAGACAAGATGGAGGTTGATAATTTTCATTTATCATGCGATTAATTGATTTATTGTTTATCGTGACAGGCCTAACAACAAGCCTCAGGGTTTAGACAGGACGAGTCCAGTTCACTGCACGATAATACCAGTAACTGACAAGGAAGCCGTTATCTATGATGGATTAATAAGCTCAAATAAAAACAGACATCTTTGTCCTTAAGACCACGTGAAACCCCCAAAATTAGCCATTCTGCAAATACCTCATGCACATCACCTAAACCAAAGGGAAGCATTGATCTATGGGTGCCCATGCCTGACGAAGCACCTGGAGCACACCGGCTGCCACAAACAGACCCACAACCAGCACCGCCAGGAGCAGCAGGCGACACGAGGAAGGCTGGAGAAGCAGCAGAACTACAGGACATGCACGGTGACAAGAAGGGAGAGGTGCAGCGTCTAGTCCTACCTCTTCCTCTTCTTGCGCCTTGAAAGCAGGTAACAAAACGCAACTCTTGGTTATTGGGGAAAAAAACGCACACATGGACAGACAAAAAACACAAGAGAGTAACAAGAGAAGGCAGTTACACATTTATAACAAGGAAGTGAAAGTAGTTTTAGAGCATGCCGACGTTCTACTCACAAGTTATAAAGGGATCGTTTTAGTTGAACATAAAAAAGGTGAAAACTGCACCAGTTTGAGTTCATTGTTCTGGAAACTGAACGACTACAGGAGTTTTCCCCGGCAGATACAGAACCGTTCACAAAAGGGATGGAAGCAAGAAATGCATGAACAGTCTTTACATTTAGCTCCGAGTACAGTTTTTAAACACGGCAGAAGAAGAACGCCAACACAAAGACAGTTAGTGAAACCTTGTTGTGTAAATGCAGACGCTGATCCATAATTGATCGCTCGCGTTAGCAGACAGGAAATGGAAACATGAGTGTGTGTTTCAAGCTATGGCCGAATGGCTGAATAATTCAAAACTTTACAGAAGATCTTGTTGCTTGTTTTCCTTCTGCACTCACTTAAAGAAATCCATCCAGACGTCAATATTAGTGAGCCATTCTCCGTCCCTTCGGCTGTTTCCAGAAGTGAACAAACACGCGTAGGTCCACAAGTTGTTTTATGGAATGACCCATGAACCAGCAAGATAAGGAAAGGATTTTGCTCATTTTGTTCATGGACACTTCCCAACTTTTCAACGAGAAGCTTGAAGCAACTCGTGTGAACGTTCATGAAGCATTCTCACTACCGTGATCCATTTTTCTTCCGTACGTTTTTCAGCATCTTCATCGTTCCACAATTTGTGTTATTTCAACAAATCACACGTCAAAACGTTCAGCTTGTTCAGGAGAAAGACGCTATGACTTTTGGTGCTGATGCAACTTTAGGTTTTTGAAATATTTCAGCCTTTTCTGCTACTTTAACTCTCACATAAAACGAACTGAGCTCATTTAACATCCTTCAACTCTTTAGATCCGTTTACAAACGTTTACTGCTCCTTTCACATTTTGTTCTGCTTCAGCTTCTTTCAGCTTCCTGCTGCAAATCTACACTTTCTCTGCTACTTTTAGCTCATTTCAGCTGTCAGATTCTTTCTGCTAACTACAACATTGTTGTGCTTCTTCCAACTTCTTTCTGCTAATTTCAGCTTATTTACACATTTCAGCTTTATCTGCTATTTCAGTTACTATTTAGCTGTTTTTATGCTAATTTTAGCTTATTCTTTTTTTGGCTAATTCTACATTTTTAACTTTAATTTAATTTCATTTAAACGTTTTTCAGCCTAATTCAGCAAAAATGTGCTCTCCACGTCTTGTAATTTCAACTTTCAGCATTTTTAAGCTACTTTTCAGCTGCTTTTTGTTGCTAACTTTTGCTTCTTTCAGCCTAATTTGGCAAACGTTATGTTTTTTTCTGCTAATTTAAGCTTGTTCTAACGTTTCAGCTAGCTTTTTAACATTATTTAGCTGACTTGAGCCGTTTTCAGATAAATTTAAATTTTTCATGTTAATTTCTGCTACTTTCAGCCTAATTCACTTTTTTCTGATAATTTCAGCTTGTTATGATCGTTCCAGCTCTTTTCTGCTAGTTTAAGCTTTTTCTAGTCTTTCAGCTAATATTTAGCTTATGCTAATTTTAGCTTTTTTTAGCCAATTTTACATTTTTCTAGCTCCTTTCTACTCTTTCAAATTCTTTCTGGTAGTTTAAGCTTCATTCTGCCTTTTTAGCTATGTTTTGCTAATTTCAGGTTTTTTGTAGCCAGTTTCCCAATTTTTGTGCTCATTTCTGCTTATTTAAATATAATTCAGCAAATATGTGTTATTTTTGTTTTCTTCTGCTAATTTAGGCTTGTTCTTTCATTTCAGCTATTTTTCAGATTTTTTTAGCTCATTTCAGCTGTTTTTCAGCAAGTCCTTCTGCATTAAGTATTCACACTGTATTTTCGCAGGAAGTACAATTTGTGTAGCTGCAACTGCTTCAGACTGAAGATGAGGCGTCATGGTGGAGGACGTTTACCTCAGGTTCTTCATCCGTTTGCTGGGCGAGCTGGTCATGCTGGATGATCTCAGCTTCGTCCTCAGTGGGACCGTTGCCCACCCTGATTCCTCCAAAGTTCTGTGTACCCTGTCAACAACAATAGTTTATCAATGTCATAGTGGATCATTTAGAGGTCGGGATGGAGTATCATCTTACCAGATGTTTCTGCCACAAATACTCCCTCCGCAAAACCAGAGTTTTTACGATTAGCATACAGGGAACGCACGCCAAGGCAATTAACACCAAGAATATTTGTATGCCCATCTGCAAAGACAGAAGAGGAGAAAGGGGAACATTAAACACAATAAGCTTTTTGGGGGCGACTCCTTCAAATAAACGTCTCCTTTGAGTTCAACATGTCCGACCTGTCCTCTGTAGAGAGGCTTGACGGTGGGGTCATTGTAGCTGAAGAGGAACATGTTAATGAAGGCGATGAGGAGACTGGGAGCATCCCTGGAGGTCAAAGCATTATAAGAGACCCACTTAAAGAAGATCAGAATGACCAGGTAGCCAAAGAGGCTGGCCATGAAGACGATCTCTGGGATGAACCCCAAGTAGATATTGAGGGGCTTTTGGAAATACCTGCAGAAAACCCAGACATTTCTTCAGCAGGGCAATCACGCACACAAGGAAAAAATAATGCAAGAATTAAGAGATTAAAATCTTACAGGTGGTTGAAAAGACTAAGAGTGACGCCAAACAGCATGTGGATGACTCCCAGGATAACGGACATCTTCATCTTGAAGGAGTTCAAGAACGTCAGCTTGTTGATTGAAATACTCCATATCTGAGAAACGGCACGATCAATTCTGATTATCTTTGCACATTGACGATCCTGAAAAATACAGTCTCAGCAAACCCATGGCTTGAAAGCACGCAATAGATAAAAAAATAAAATTATGTTAACATTGAACTTTACAAAGTGTCACAAGGAAATCATTTACTGGATCGATGCCAATTGGGTACGGCCCTTTAAACACTCCGACCACCGCTGGATCCAACTGCAACGCTGCGCTGCCTGCAAGAGTTGCGTCCCTGGAAGACATGAGAGCACGCATCCGTTCTTGTTTTTACTTGGACGACGGCATACCAACAAAAAATATCTGATTAAATTCCTTTTTCCCTTTTGCAAAGGCTGCGTCAACATTTAGGCAGAACTTTTGCTTCGTCTTGTCCGACACTTACGTCCAGTTGCCTTTCTCCCCGAACATGGGTCTGACACTCCATCCAGAGCCGAAGATATTTAAGGACTTCGAGAAGCAGTCGTTGTAAATAATGCCGGTGTAGACTGAGAAAAGTCCCATCAGCAGGATGATGTAGCGCCCCGCAAACACCATGCTGAATATCTGCCACATAAACAGTTCAAGGAGAAAACCATGAACGTCTTGTAAGGGAAAGAAAGGCTGAATATCCTCTGCAGCCCTGAGGTCGCATGCCTCACCAGTAACAAAGGTGTGGTACTGATGAGATTGCAGTGATGTGATTCCTACCTCGTTATCATTTTTCTGGGCCATCAACCTGCTTTCTCTCAACACGAGGTATAAAGCTGCACAGGTCATGAGCGTCCCATGACCCAGGTCACCAAACATGACAGCAAATAGGAAGGGGAAGGTGATTATGGTGTATGGAGCTGGAGACGACAAGGCAGGAGGGTGATGTGGTACATGAAGCAACGAATGAGTAAAACACGCTGAGAAACATTCACCAACAAGGACATGATGGATGACTAGACGGATGCTTTTCAGCGACTGGCATACAGTACAATCAGTTTCCTTTAAAACTCCAAGGGCCTCAGAATGGTCCGTGCCATGACAGAGGTCAGAAAGTTTAATACGAGGACGAATAAAATAAAAATAGTGACGTGTTCATACCTGGATTCATCTCACGGTAGTTGCCAATTCCATAGGCATCCACGATGTTCTGGAAACCGGAGGTGAACTTGTTTGTCTTGTTGTACGTTGGTGCCGTCTGCTTGGTTTGCATTCGGTTGAGAATGGAAGGCACATTGGATCCACTTTTCTCCTAAATTAAATGAAAATAAAATAAAAGACACTACACGTGACATGACTTCCTCAGAACAGAGACTAAAGATCTGTTCCCAAATATTGGAACAATTCAACCACTCCCAATGTTTCGTTGAGGCATCGCATTTTGAAAACGCTGCTAATCCTAAAATGGTGAAAATGTACAGTTCAGAACTAAATACTGAGCTTCTTGCTTTCACAACGTTTAACGGGGACACCCGGCGTCGCCTTCAGTTTCCAAACACGATAAAAACAGCGCAGTGCTGTAAAACGTAAAAACGTAAGAGTGTAGTTAAAGTCATGCACTTGTCTGGTTGGGATCAAACGTCAACTTTCTGTTCACCAACTCACCGTGCCCCTTCGCAGAGCGAACTGGATGGAGTCCAAGTCCGAAACGGGACACCACACCTCGGCAATCAGACACTTCTGCGTGACATCTATGTTGCAGAGGTTCAGGGTGTGGTAGATGGCCTTCATCTTCCTCACTTTAATGACCCACACTCGGACCGTTTTAGCTGCAGCCTGCAGGACTCGCTGCCTGTGGTCTTCAGTCTGGTTCAGCACCTTTGGGAGCAGAGGCAGTAAAGCGTTCAAATGAAGTAGAATACAGTTCCATCGATTCTGAGAGTCAATATACGAGTCATATAAATATGCATGTGTGTCAAGATATTCAACGCTTCATTCTGCTTTAATCCCTGCGCTGCGAGCGCCTCTCTTGCAAAGTCTGATGAGGAGGAAGAGGAGGAAGAGGAAGTTCCACTCCTGAAACAGTCCACCACTCAGTAGCTTGGACATTCCAAGCAGTCCACACGATGGCTGACAGAGAGCATCTGTGGACTTTTACTTCTTAAATTACATTTTTCTTGAGATTTGTTGCCTTCGTTGTTGTAAAAGTTGTGGACAACCAGAACTTGTCAAGAGGTTTCCTGCTGGAAAGTTTCTTTACCTGATAATGTTTTTGTCTGCTTGTTTCACCTCTTCTTACATGAAAGTTTTAGCTAAGCTTCAAAGACTATGACAAAAAGCTCAACTATTCACATTTTGTATCTTTAAACTGTAAAATGCATAATTGTATGATGCCTAATGTACAAAACAAACAACATTAAACACGTAAAACTGCATCTACAGCTACAACTAGTGAACGGTGAGTCAGTTGTAGGAGTAAAAAATGCCAAACAGCATTTAACTTCCCTGTGGGATTAATAAAGTATTTTTGAATTGAAATAATGTTCTCTCAGTCATTTTAATGGAACAGTTGAGGGCTACACGCTGCGGTTCGAGCCACATTACAGTCGACAGAAGAGCAAGATGTAAAGTTCAGAAACCCTCGTCAGGTGGATAATAATAGGCGGCTGCCTTGTACTGGACTGTCCCCAATAAGTTCCATCACACACAGACACACACCGCTTGTTTTACACAAGTTCTCTGCTTCTGTTGACTGAAACTGACGGAGGTTTTATTTAGAGCTACGTGACATGAAAGTCTCTGAAGAGGCGAGAGTGTCAAAATATAAAATGAACGTTACGAGCTAAACTAAGAGAAGGGAGGATTTTCTCACGCTACTTTATCTTGCAATAGATAATGAGCCTCTGGCAAGGACACTGCACCGAAACAAAAAGTGCAGTTTGAGTGATAAGACTGTTAGAACACTGAGCACAACGAAAAATAACGAGTTAATTTAAAAGATCTGAGCAACAAAGAGGAAATATGTACGTTTCTCTGAATTTACAGTTTCTTCTACGTTGCTGCGAATAAATAATATAAATGCATTTTGCTGATCTGCCAGAATTTGGCAGAAGAAAACACGTTTTCCTGTTCCAAGTTAAACATTTAGATCCGAGCCTGTCGGAGCATTTACTCACCATTTGCAGGTCATCGATCCGAGCGTTCACTCCGGCCAGCATCTCTTTCCTCTCCTGAGGAGTTTCTGGACATGGGTACAACGTTGCTCTGAATCTAAAGACGTGAACGAGTAACCGTCAGAAAAGAAGAGTTCGTTCACTGAACCGATGACGAGTCACTCACCCCTCACAGATTTTCTTGACTCTGTTCTTTAGCTGGTCTCCTTGAAAGAATATGATGAAGACAGACTTGTGCACTTGGTCGCCCTGTGAACACATTTCAGTCAAGTCCGTTTGGATACAAACACGAGTCTGTCAAAATTCAGAAACGTGACTGACTGTAGTGGGGTCCTCCAGAGGATCTTCGATATTCGCCTGCCGCAGGAACACGTTTCCTCTGCAAACTCTCCACAACATCCTCTCAAATGTGGGGATGCGCTCCCTGCCAATGACTCCAGCTACAAACCTAGAACAGGGACAAATCTGCAGCTATTTAGCTGATCAACAAACATTTAGCTGTTTTACATGTCTGTTCTTTTTCACATTCTCTTTAGTTTGAATTCACGGAAGAGCTAACAGAAATTATTACAGCAGTGCCTCGATACTTGGCAGGTCGACCTTCACGGACTCGCTCCATCGCAGTTTTTCAAAGTGAGACTGAACACGAGAGAAAAACACTTGTACAGGACACGACTGCCAACTTTAAATCAGTCACGTGACAGTACAGGTACTGTACAGTAAAAAGTTAACGAACAAATAAAATACTTGGGGCCGGCGCCACCATTTTGTAGTTTTCTCTCAATAAGCCTGAACTGATCAGCGCTCATGACGACGACCGTATTTTTCAGATTATAAGGTGCATCAAGTGAAACAACTTCAGATAAGTCTAACTTTATTCAACTCGTTCACAACAACATCATAAAATCAGTTTGAGGTCAGGAAGCACAACCAGAGTTAATACATAAAGTTGATTCTAAGGTTCACTGTTGATTTGAGAAAATTTAAGAATTTTAAGTGAACCTTATAGTCCGAGAAATACGGTACATTTCCCAGAAGCCCCGGTGCCTTCTGCTGAAATACTAGAGGGAAAGTTTTGATCTGATCAGAAAAAGTTTGGTGATTATTAGTGATTTCGGCGCCCAGCAGATGCAGAGAGCCGCACGGAACCCACGACCTGGACCAGAACCAGAACCAAACCTCCAGACCCATCGGTGAAGCTTGAGAGCTGGTAGCCGGTCCACGAGGACTTTCGAGTGGGATGCGCGCCGCCGAAGGTCCAGCGCTCCATCCAGAACTTACCGGGACTTTTTTCATCTCCTTCAACCGGCCCATAAGGACCTCCGAGCGAGGACGCGCTGGTAAGTAAAACGTTGCAACTGCATGCTGTTAAAACGAGCAGGTTAAGAGTTTAGAACAATGATTGTGGGTCTGCAGAAACCGAACCGAGTCGGACCGGAACCGAAAGCTGCTGCAGTTCTGCCGAGCCTGGTGAGTAAAATTTAGTAGCTACATATACGATCCTGTACGTAGGTTGTTAAAATTACGGAGATTTAAGAGTTTGGAATATTGCAAGAGTGTGAGTTTATAAAGTCTTAAAATATATAAATACTAAAATAAATAGAACGTCGCTACTTTGTGGATTTCCACTTATTGGTGGGGGGGGCTCAAACCAAACACCCGCAATAAATGACAGTTGTTTTTATCCATTTTAGAGTAGATGTTTTTACTTGGATGACCTTGATTGCAGGAGAGCAGAGTCTGAATTTTATAGACTACTTCCTAGTTGCAACAATTCAGTTTTATACTCAGATGGTCAAACAGCGTTAGCTGAAAATCTCCCCACCTTCAACAAAAAAAATCTTAATCCCTTTAAATCTGAACGTCTGTGAATCAGACTCACCCTAATCTGAGCGGAGCCACTCTGTTGGGCTCATTGGGGTCCAGGAGAGTGGACGACTCTTCAAGTAAACTGGGATCCTCCATCTGCAAAACAGCAGAACCAACCCTTAACTACATTAAGTCAACTTTTATAAAGCTGGGCGTAAATACAATTATAAAAACTCTCTTTATACAAACTCTGACTAGATTTTTTTAAACTGTGTGTAGATTTAGACAGAACGGCTGCACTGTGTTTGCTTTAAACATAAACAGTATTTTTCTTCAATTATTGTCTAACAAGTGATCCTTTGTTAAATGATTCACTTCAATCAGAGCTTAAAACTTGTAAAAGGTCCCTTAACACCGTCAGCTGACTGCCTTGCTTGTGGAGAGGAAATATTGTTGGGCAAAGGCGGACAGGCGAGGAGTTCTTCCAGCACATGACCATTTAACTGGACTAACCCATCGCGCAGCAGCAGACTCACAATGAATAATAAGAGTCGGGTGCGAACGTGCTGCAGCCACATGAGCAGCTGTGAAAGATCACGAGTGAAAACACCTTTTGCCAAATTAGATGCACCTTTGTGTTCAGTGAGAGCAAGGTAGACCGTTTAAAAAATAATACAAATCTGGATTAAACTGACAAAAAAAACTAGTTTAGATTGAAAAAAAAGGTTTCTTGTGCAACAAAAAACAAGAAATCTCAGTATTTAATCCCAAAACAACAGAATATATTCTAAAAAGAATCTCAATTAAATGTTACAACCCAAAACTAAGGACTGCGAACAGAAAAGTCCCTCCTCTTTGAGGTGCCAGCAGTAAGGCTGAACGTTTGAGGCCTGAAAGAACTACAGCGCTGACCTCGTTAAAAAACTGCTGAGTACGATGCAAAATGTGCTTGAGCTCAGTCAATTCCAGGAAGTTCTTCTTCAGGGCCTCTTGGTTCGTGTTGATTTCCTTCAGTTCATTCTCAAGCTTCTCAAACGTGGCCTGAGGGCGATAAAAGTCAGGGATTATCAGGAGCCGGGAGAGAAAAGAGATGACAGAGCTCCACTGTAAGCGTTAAGAAAGATCATTAACCTCAAGGTCGATCATGTCCCTTGGAAAAGGGACTTCGGGGTTCTCTCCTGTGTCAAGTATTGCAATGTTGGCCCTCTTAATTTCTTTTTCCACAAATCCTGTGAAGAGAAAAAAAAGATTCACCCAAAAGACAAATTAATAAAACATGTTATGAGTATAGGAAATTATCATGCAAACAACTAAAACAAACCTTTTTCATAAAGCTTTGGATATTTTGTTTTGGTAAAAAGAACTCGCAAACAGCAACAGATTTATATTAAAAAGATATTCAAGCTCACTCAGTTTACGATCCATCTCTTCGCATCGTCGGACTTCATTGACAAACTTTCTCTGGAACGCGTTGACGTCGGGATTCAACTACGAGTAAAAAACAAAATTAACCATCCACAAAGCAAAATATATTACATACAAATTCATTTGTAAAAATCATACTTTAGACTATTTAAAGACGGCAGTGTCTGATATGTTTGGCATTACGAGCCCCCTGCTGACGGACAAAACGTTTCTGTGTATCTGAGCACAAAGCTGGTCAGCTGTGAGCACATGATGCAAAAGGCATGCACTGGTCTCATAAGCACCGCTGACGTGACGGATTTCAATCCCACCAACGGTGAACTAAAATGACTAAAAGTTGATGCAACTGTAGAGAAAGCATTCACTTTCTTTAGGAAATAAAAACAACTGCGAACACAAAAAAGACAGAGTACAAAACTGGGCTTACATCACGAAACTGCACCATCCCAATCTCTCCCAGTTCGCTGACACAACAGTAGGCTGCTTCTGACTGCAGGAAGAGCTGGGCCAGCGTCATCTCCTCGCTCCTGAAGAGTTCGCCCATGTTGACGAGAGCGCTCAGCGCCCAGAAATCAACCAGGACCTGTGCAAAGTGGATTGATAGTTTTCATTGGTACAAACTGTGGTCATCACTTCCCTCTGTTTGGCGTCTTGTTGCCAGCATCAATAATAAAGGAGGCTTTTTTTATTTTTTTACACCTGGCTGTTAGTTTTGCACCATTATGTGACAAAAAATATCCAACACTAGTGCTGATCTCACGACTGCTGCAGGAATGTTCAGATGGAGTGGTTTGAGCTGCATTAGTGCACCTAATACTATATTTTTTAAGGCTTCAACAAAACACTTCCCAGTTAAGCAGCCCAACGACCACACTGGGATTATTTGAGGATTACAAGGTAAGATTCAACGTTACTGCAGCTCCATCGGCAAGGACTTGGACACGTAACAGAAGCACCTTTTAAATCATTAATAAGCTGCAATAATCGGATCAATACTTAACCCGATAACTTGTCTTCACCTCGCTGTCGCAGACGAACATTAACTGGAACCAGAACATGTTTGGAGCTATGGGTGGCTAATAGGCGTTAATTAGCAAATGAGCTAACATTAACAAGTCAATGTACTACACTAAGAGCGTAAATAGCTAATTATAATTTGATTTTTTTTAATATAAAATACAAGAGGAGCATGGTTAATAGTTGGTACTTAACTATCCTAAATAAAAACGACTCTGTTTTGAGTATTTGAGTCGAGCTAACTCCGATTTAGCACACCTGTTGTCTAGTTTTAGGCCGTCGAAATGCATCAACGACGCATTAAAGTAGCGTTTGATGTTTTTATTCTTACTGTTTGGGTGTGGGTTCAAGCCCCCTTCCTCTGTGCTCGCCTCCTTTACTTTGCTCTTGGATGTTTGAAGCGGTGTAGTCGCTTGTTTGAGAGTCAACTTCGTAACGATCCCTCAAACCGGAACAAGCATATAGATTGACGCTTTGGAAAGTCACGTGACACGAACAGCGAACGTCCATTGGCTAGAAGTCGCTCAACACAGCTGGTTTAAAGGGGAGTCTTATTTTGAAATTCTTCAACGGAAGTGATGGTAAAATTGCTAACACCTGACGAAATAATTATATACAGATATTCTGTAATTTGCTGTTTTTTTAATGTAATGTATAATTGGCATTAATCCACGGAAAACGAAAATAAAATAAACAAGTTTATTTACACAAAAAGTAAAAAATCGTGGCAAACATAAACTTTTTTTTGTTTTTGTTTCAGGTACTTGTATGACAAGATATCCTGCCGATACCGTTATACTGTAATTGATAAACCGTTTTGAAGTGTATAGTAAAACTCATTGATAAGGACTAGGCAACTGTGAGGCAACGCTGCCCTCTGGTGGTGGTATATAGTAACTCCATTAGCATTAGCTTTAGCTTCGTTACAGTACTTCCGTGTTTTTGCTGAGCTAGCTTTAACAGAATTATAAAAGTTCCTTTTGCATAAACGCAGCAGCAATGCTGTTCATGTTTCTGTAGCTGCCTACTTTAATTGGGTATAAATTTGCTCAAAGCTTAAGGTAAGTATACGCGTTTGTAAATGTCATAGTTTACTTTATTTTTAAGTATTGACCGGAAGTCACAATCAACGTGCTGTCTGTAAAGAAGCTCCCTTGATGAATTAAAATGCTGTCGTCAGCGTTATTAGATACATAATTTAATATTATACACTGAATTAAATGACGAACAGTTTTGGAAGAGGAGACGTAGTCAAGGTAGTCAGTGCCCCCAATACAATGTTTCATACATAAAATGATGTTAAAAATCAAACTAGAAAGTTGTGTGTAAGGTAATCAAGATTAAACAACCATGATTCCGTTTTTTTTTTTCAAAAGTACATAATTTATTAAATATAATAAATATTCCAGATGCTTGGAAAACAGCCTTTGTTCTTCCTTTGCTGAAGGGAGGAGACCCCACCTCACTGAACAACTATGGACCAACCTCTAAACTCTGCATTTTAGCCAAGCCTGTTCTAGAAAAACTGATCAACTCTCAAATCAAAAATTACCTGGACTCATTTAACATCTTACCTCCACATCAATCTGGTTTCAGGAATCAACACAGCACAACCACTGCTTCACTGAAGGTTCTTAATGACGTTGTTGAAGCACTGGATGCTGAGGATTATTGTGCTGCACTTTTCTTAGACCTGTCTAAAGATTCTGACACTGTGGATCAGAACATCTTGTGTCATAAACTCTCAGAACTGGTTTCTCAGAACACACCATTGGTTGGTTCTCTAACTATCTCTCAGACCGGAGGCAATGTGTTCAACATAATGGTACTTCCTCCAGTTATTTAACAGTCAACAATGGTGTACCACAAGGTTCAGTCTTAGGACCCACCCTCTTTACAATCTACATACATAATGTAGGTCAGATCATCCCTGATGCATCCATACATTTCTATGCTGATGACACAGTTGTTTATTGTCGAGCTAAAACTGTTGCTAAGACTTTCCAGCTTTTGAACTCTGCATTCAACATCATCCAGACTGATTTGTTTCACCTCAAACTTGTCCTAAATGCCGACAAAACCAAAGGGATGCTTTTTTCAAATAGGAAGTTGGTCCCAGCAGTTCTTCCTCTGATCTCATCCTCAAATGGTGTCCCCATTGAGTTTGTTGATTCCTATAAATATTTGGGTATCTTGGTCGACTCACATCTCTCTTTTAAGCTCCATGTGGAAAACTTGGTAAAGAAACTGAAAGTTAAACTGGGTTTCTTTTTCAGAAACAGATCCTGTCTAACTCTGAATGTTAGAAAACACCTTGTATCTGTGACTTTCCTTCCCTCCATTGATTATGGTGACATTATTTACATGAACGCTCCTACAAGAACCCTGCAGATGTTGGATGCTGCAGATGTTGGCTGCTGCAGATGTTGGCTGCTGCAGATGTTGGATGCTGCAGATGTTGGATGCTGCAGATGTTGGATGCTGCAGATGTTGGATGCTGCAGATGTTGGATGCTGTCTATCATGGTGCACTAAGATTCATAACTGGCTGTGATTATCGTACCCACCATTGCACCCAGTATTCACTGGTTAACTGGTCATCATTAACTCCACACAGACTCTCTCACTGGTACATTTTCATCTTTAAATCACTTCCTGGTCTGCTGCCTTCATACATCTCCTCCTACATGTCTCTGAGTGAGTGCAGCTACAGCGTGCGCTCTCAGGACATCATTACCTGCAGTGTTCCCTCAGTGAGGACTGAACTAGACTAAAGGACCTTCTCCTACTCCGCTCCTGTTTCCTGGAATATCTTGTAAAAAGATCTGAAGCTCTCGACCTTTGACCTCTCTAAGTGTCTTTAAGAATCTGCTGGACTCCTGGCAGGGACCAATGCTGACATGTTCCTGTTTTTAGTTTTATACATTCGCCTTAGAATCTAGCTGTTTTTGTTACTTTTTTGCATCTTATTTGTAAAAAATAAAAATTGTATGACTTTTTATAACTGTTAATTGTTGTTGCTGTTGTCCACTGTTGTCATCTTTCTTTGTTGAAATCAGGTCTCTCTTGTAAATGAGTCCTCGAGGCTCAATGGGATTTACCTGTTTAAATAAAGGTTGAATGAAAAAATAATAATAATTTAGGTTTTGTGTACAAAGGATATTCTGTAAAACCTAAAATAAAAATAAATACCGCCCTCTAGTGGGCACAGGAAGCTACAAGAAGACATTTTTAAAAGTAAAGGTCTTTACTGCTGGTCCAAATTTTAAAATAAATTTTACATGGATAAGCTGATTGCTTGAAAATGAAAAATCATTGATTCACATTTTTTTATTGTGTTGTAAATACATATTTCTTAATTTTATTTAGGGTCTTCACCCAAACAATTAGCTGCTGTAATTTCTTTTCCATTCAACCTTTATTTCTGCAGGTTAGTCCCATTGAGCCTCGCGACTCATTTACAAGAGAGACCTGGTTTGAACAAATAGTGATGACAGCAGTGGACAACAAGAGACAATCATAAAGGATGCATACAAATTATCTTTTATTTTTTTGAAAATAAAATGGTAATTAAACGGAAAATTAGCACACACAAAAAAAACAGCTCGATTATGAGGCGATGTAAAAAACTAAAAACAGGAACATGTCTGCATTGGTTTTTCCCAGGAACTTAACAGATGTTTGAAGCCACTCGGACAGGATGGAGAGCTAAAGAGAGAGACTTTGAGAAGTTATTTAAAATAAAAATACGTTTACTTTGCAAAGTAATGAGGACTGGACAAGAAAAGCAAACAAACAAATAAATAAATAAAGTAAGAAGCAATATTTCCACAATGTTGATGGTTAATTTAAGCTTAAGCTTGAAATCAAAATGTCAACAAAAACAAACCAGTGTTTTTTTCAGTATGTAAAAGCCAAAGTGTCCAATGATTGAACTAACTGGCCATATTTGTTTACCTGCACAAACTACAGCCAGCCTTTTGCAGGTCAACCATATTCCTCCAGCTTTAAAGCATCATATCCAAGTGCTTTGTTTACATTGAGTGCACACCCGCATTTTAGATTTGCATATTTATCTGTAAAACTACTGGAGTGAACTCTTTCAAACTGCACCGTCTGATGTAGCGCAGCAGCAGAACACCCGCTTATGTTTGATTTCATAGTTTTAATCCTTTTTGTTATTTTTGACTTAATTATCAAACATTAGACATAAGGCCTTGCAGAAATAATCATTTTTATAACTTAACACAAAACCAGAAGAGGGAGGTTCTTTGATTTCAGCTGCTGTGTCACATTTTCATGCTCTGGCTAAATGTTTTTTGTCATGTTTCCATTCGAGGCCTTCACCTCTCTGTGTTATTTAGGAGTTTGGTGCCACAAAAGGAGGTGGGGTCTGGAGACATATCTGCCCTGAGCCTGGGGACAGAATGGGGTGGAGCCCCGGCAGCAGGGGAGGTGGTGGTTGGAGGCCAAGTGTAAGAAGGGAGAAGTTTGACTGAGTGGTTTCACAGAGAGCAGAGGCATTTGAGTCGGGGCACACATGCTTCAGCAGTGAGGCTGCACTCCCCTTGGCTGGCTGGCATCCCAGAGCAGAGGCAGAGGAGAACTGAACTGAAACCGATTTAGCAAGTTGTTTAGAAAGAAGAAAGAAAGATTAACGTTCTGAGGAGAGTGTATAAACTAGAGTTGTTCTCGGTGAGTTGTAGTGAGGTGGCGAGCGGTTTGATTTGACAGTTATGGCGGATACAGGGGTCAAAAAGGAGCACTCAGAAGTGCCGTACGATGACGACGAGGTAGCTCTGGTTGGCGCCGCCACAGAGCCGGCCGTAGACGAGGACGACCCCGTCGAGGAGGATGGAGGCAAGAGCGAAGCCCAGATGAACGGCGTCATGGTTCTGTCTCTGCTCGACAAGATAATCGGGGTGGTGGACAAGATCCAGCAGACCCAGAATGGACTCGAGGCTCGGCAGGAGGCCATGGAGAAGTCGGTGTCAACCATCCAAGGGGAGCTGGCGAAGCTGTCCAAGAACCACAACGACACGGCCAACACCGTCAACAAAATGCTGGACAAGGTGCGCAAGGTCAGCGTGAACGTCAAGACGGTACGAAGCAACCTGGAGAAGCAGGCGGGCCAGATCAAGAAGCTGGAGAGCAACGAGAGCGAGCTGCTGAAGAGGCGCAACTTCAAGGTCCTCATCTACCAGGTGACGATCAGGCAGACACATCTTTATTATCGATTTTCACTGCATGTATGTGACCAAAGTAGAATTCAACTCTTACATGTGGACACCAACATGCACCCTCACAGTCACACGTCAGCTCAGAGCAGGGTGTGTTGCATTCCCCGGGTCCTAAGGGAAATTTGGAAAGAAGTGTGAAATTCACATGAAAGGCTGTCAGAGCAACCTGTTGAGCAGGAGTCCAAATGTGACTTGACTGACCCTTGTTTGTGAAAATGAAAAGGAGACTGGTGGTTCTTCCAGTATGCAGGAGGACGGCCAAAGCTCAGCGGTTTCCATGACATAAACACGTGAATCACCCGTTCCTAAAACTTCAACGCGGCCGAGATGTTTACGAGGCGTCCAACACTGCACTGCAGTGTTCAGAGGGCAGTGGAGGAAAAACCAGCGACCCCCCTGGAAAAATAAAGACAGGTAGAGTCCTCTCCTGCTGCACATGGAGACCCAGTGAAACTATTTAAAGACTAGTGGTTGCAAATAAAATATAAGGCCTATAAACACGGGCATGTGGGGGCTACTTGAGAACAGAACCAACGCCCCACTTCTGAGTGGTCTGAGGACAAACAGCAGGGACATAATTCTTAAACAGCAAATGAAGACGTTATTACGCAATTATGAGTGCTTGGATTTGTAATTTTAAGAGGTGTAAATATTTTTCTTTAGACATGACTGAACAAATTTGTTAAAAATATGCTAAAAATAACCAAAGGGATGAAGCGCTGGATATTTAAAGACGCAGCGACTCCAGTGAGCAGCTCTTATTTTAGGTGGCCGTGCCACAACACCTCACATGTGGATGCAGCTCTGCTTCAGCGTTTGTGTTGTCGCGATTTAAAATGTCTTATTCAGCCGAAGCTCAAAAGGCATTAAGAGTGACCGCGTGCTTTTAACACCAGAACCTTTCTGGAAAACTCTTTAGAAACATCTGATCTAAAACTGATGCAGAAAAACTGGTCCATGCATTTGTCACATCTAGACTGGACTATTGCAATGGTTTATTATCTGGGTGTCCAAATACTTCTTTAAAACGTCTTCAGTTGATGCTGCTGCCTGAGTCTTAACTGGAGTTACTGGGAGAGATCATCTCTCTCCAGTTTTAGCTTCTCTCCATTGGCTCCCTGTCAAATCCAGAATAGAATTCAAAATCTTACTTCTAACCTACAAAGCGCTCAACAACCTAGCTCCATCTTATATTACAGATCTTATTGTTCCATATTTTACTAACAGAGCACTTAACTCTCAGACTGCAGGTTTACTCGTGGTTCCTAGAGTTTCCAAAAGCAGAATGTGAGGAAGATCTTCCAGTTCTCAGGCTCCTCTCTTGTGGAACCAACTTCCAGTTTCTGTCCATGACGCTGACACATTGTCCAGTTTTAAGTCTTTCCTTTTTGATAAATCCTATAGTTAGGGTTGTTATGCTGCTATAGACTTAGACTACTAGAGGACAAACTGACCTCATTTCCTTAAATGAATTGTTAAAACTGAATAGTTTTCATTTGATACTATTTCTATCTTAACATGTGATTCTTGACCTGCCATTGTGTATCTATTCCTACCAAACCCAGCCGGTCGAAGCAGATGGTCCTCTTGTCCTGATCCTGGTTCTGCTAAAGGTTTCTTCCTCATGAGGGAGTTTTTCTTTCCACTGTCGCCTTCATGCTTGTTCAAGATGAGAGTTCAGTGATGGAGTTAAACTCAAAGCTGCTCCTCAGATAAATAATGTTATTAACTT